AGGCTCCAGTATCCCATACTAAAATGAACTTAAATAGACTACCGCAGATACACCATCGCTCACGGGACAAGTAGTCGAACACGACCGAAGTCAACCGCCGTAGCACAATACTTCGCAGTATGACATGAGTGTGAGCGCATTTACTGGAGTGGAATGAAACGTGTACGTACCGTCGATTGTAGTGAGGATTTCCTGGGGGTGTTGGCTCATGCTTTTTTTTTTAATTTTTTTGAGAGGGGGTTCGTACATTTGATCGTCCACGTTGGTCGGAGGCGCTGCTTTGGGCGGGTTCGAAGCGTGCTGGGTGTCGGCAGTACTCTCGACGACTTCTTTCTGTCGCTTCATCAAACTCGATAGGAGGTGCGGTTACCTCCTTTTTCTTGTGGCTGACTAATTGAAGAATAAACCGTAGATTTCGACACGGTCGGTTGCGTTGGGATGGGAATGGCCTATCGCTTCATCAGGAGTGCTGCGCAAGTTGGGAGAAGGCGGCTTTGGTGGGATAGTTGCTGTGGTGGTGGGACCAGGCTCATAGCTTTCAAGTCAAGGTAGGTGCTACTGCTCGTTGATATGGTGCTGTTGCAAGTAGACGGGCTGACCATCGCACTGTTCTTGACGTGTTCAGGGGCTACCAGTCGTGTACGTAGGTCGAATGGACAAGCCAGTCATCGACCGCGCATTTAGGTCGGTCGAGATCATCACTTACAACATCTATCTACAGCGCAATGAAGGAGCCTTCACCGAGGTTTGGCTACGCGACGAACGTTTGTTAGATTTTCGATAGATCTGATATGATCTAGGATGACGTATGGATTTGCAAGTGCGTGGCGGGACCTCGAGATGTGGCTGGTTGCCTCGATGGCTGTTTAATTCGATCGGTAAATGCCACGTGAAGTGTGCTATCGCATAGCTGACGGGATTGGATTGTGTACATGTAGGCGCGGTACGAATGCATTCGTTGGCTACTGCCCGTGCGGCAGTAAGCGCATGAATCAGCGCTCCCAGGTGGACTCAGCAGTGCTGTTTGCAGTGGTCGACTGTGGTCGCAAGGGTGTTGGTGTGCTCGCACTGGAGAAGCTCAAGGCCAATACGTTCATAGGCGAGTATGTCGGAGAGGTTGTCGGCGGCGCAGAGTTGCAGAGGCGGCGACAGGTAATAAATGAATTTGGTGACTCGAGTGTTTTGTCGCGCTGACCAACTTGCAGTAGGTTTATGCGGATCGTAGTTGCTGGT